GGCGTGATCCCAGAGTTCCGGAATCGAGTCCCGCATTGGGCTCCCTGCATGGAGCCTGCTTCTCCCTCTGCCTGTGTCTCTGCCCTTCTCTCTCCGTGTGTGTCTCTCATGAATAAATAAATAAATAAAATCTTTTAAAAATAAATAAACAGGGACATGAAGTATACTGGATTGAAATACATAAAATATGTCTAAATGTATCACATCATAATGATATCAACACAAAACAAAAAATCATTGTTTACCCTTAGAAGGTGCTAGGAAACCTAATTCATTATTTTGAAAACTGGTAAGAGGGGATCCCTGGGTGGCGCAGCGGTTTAGCGCCTGCCTTTAGCCCAGGGCATGATCCTGGAGACCCGGGATCGAATCCCACGTCAGGCTCCCGGTGCATGGGGCCTGCTTCTCCCTCTGCCTGTGTCTCTGCCTCTCTCTCTCTCTGTGTGACTATCATAAAGAAATAAAAATTTAAAAAAAAAAAGAAAACTGGTAAGAGAAAACCACACATAGAACCTAGCTTCCCTTTATGAACAATTTTCAGTTATCTGAAACTGTTGACAAAATAAATATTTATGTATTCTAGCTAATATATTACAAATACAGAACATTGTCTATTATGCCACAACATAATTGAGACATTATGTACCCCTAACGAAGCATCAATACCATTTATGAAACAGACTTACCAAAAAAATTCAACCTGAATGTGATCTAACCCCTAAATGATGACCAACTTAGAAGAAATATAGAACAAAGAAGAATGTGTTAATCCCATGGGTATGCAATTAACAAGTACCTCTCTCTGAAGAACTATGGGACAACCAGTTTTTTTCTATTAAAATGTGCAAGAAGAAAAAAAGAAAAATGGAAATGAAACTCATAAAGAGGGACTAGAGAGGCACAACCACCAGCTGCAATGTGTGGTCTTGATAAGCATCTTCATTCTAACTATAAAATAAACAATGAGGCAACTAGGGGAATTTAAATATATTTGATGATATAAAGGAATTAACTTTCTCTCTGTGTGATAACAGTATTGTAGTTAGACATTGAGAGGGAATGATCATCTTTTAGATATATGCACTGAAATACTTAGAGATAAATTCAAAGTAATCTGGGGTAGAGTTGGAGTGTGTGGAGATGAAACAGGATTGGCCATGAGTTGGTTAATTCTTGAAGGTGAGTGAAAGGTAGGTGGACAAATGAAGATGCATTGTACTATGCCCTTAATTTTATAAACAGCATATAGCAGCTTTTAAAAAGTTAAAAAACAGAAAGTTAAAAAAAAAACAAAAACAGAAAATATGCTATAGTAAAGGCCATCCTGAAACTGACCAGCTTGTGGCTACTTGGCTGGAAACCAAAGTGGAAAACCTTGGGAGGTGATCACATCATGTACCCAAACTGGCTCTAGACAGGACCAAAGGCTGGGCTTAGCTGTGGATCTCTGCACACCCTTCTTGAACAAGTGGGGCAAAGTTCCTGTAAGCTGTGTAGGTCCTTATATGATGGGCAGTATTAGGAGGCTGGAGGGGTGGGTGATGGGTACTTGTTTAGGGTCACAGAATAGGGGCCCCTGGGAACAAGTAGATAAGGGAACCACTTTGGGAAGTGACTGAGGCTTCTCTGGCTGTGTTTACTGTCTCCCTTCACTAAAGAGGGCAGGGGAATATGTCCATCTTATTTGTTCACTGCTATTTATCCAGTGTTTGGCACAAAGTAGGCTCTGAATAAATATGTTGAGGGCAGCCCCGGGTGGCTCAGTGGTTTAGCAACTGCCTTCAGCCCAGGGTCTGATCCTTGAGACCTGGGATCGAGTCCCTGCATGGAGCCTGCTTCTCCCTCTGCCTGTGTCTCTGCCTCTCTCTCTGTGTGTGTCTCTCATGAATGAATAAATAAAATCTTTAATTAAGTAAGTTGAATGAATGAACTCTAATAAGAGTCAATAAAATACATGCTACAATAGCCTTGTAAGCAAACTGTGCTTGTAAGCAACTCACACTACTCTCAATTAAAATATTTTAACAGATCAACGACAGTATTACTTTACATTTTTTTGTTGTCTGTTACAAGTTCTCACACACAGCATCTCAATTAAAACCACACAAAACCATACTACCATGTAATCAGGCCACATACTATTTAGACTAGAAGAACAAAGGACTCCTGACTTTTGGTCAATATTTCCTTTTCTGTATCACTCTGCTAGTAAGATTTACAATTAGTCAAGTGCTAAAAATAAAGCATGTTTTCCAAGAAGCAACTGTATCTTCACGGTACTACACTAAATTTCTAATTTAGCCTGAAAATATAAGTTTTGTAACTCTGGGTAAGCTACATTATAATTCAACATTAAAAACTAACCTAAGACCAAGAGAACAGTAAAGCTAACAGGACTCTATGCTTAAGGAACAAAAGTGACCTTGTGCTTCAAAGAGGGAACCAGATGTATAACATTCAGACATTCCTCTGCTGAACTATTAACACAAACTGGTTGTACTGGCAGAGATCCTGGTTTTTCAGTGTTCAAACAAGTTACACCCCATGAATCTAACCTTAAACCAGAACAAACTGGAAAGAGAAAAAAACTTATAAACCAAAGGCAATTTAAAAGTCCATGAACGTATTTCAAAATGTGACTTTGCTTAGGAAATCCAGTTTGGGTGTGATTTATTTCAAGAGGCATTTTCAAAAAAATATACTTACTAATGCTAAACAGTGAAGTTTTTTTTGAACTTCAAAGTTGTCTTTGAATTTCAAATTTATTACAGAATCCCATCCCTTTGTGGAATAAAGTATTTGGAATTTGAATTCAATTCATTCACCCACATTCCAGCAGATATTTCACTAAATAGGATATATGATCAGGTTTCAAAGAAACAAAAGAAAAAAAAAGAACTTCATAAAGTCTATACTACACAGATCATCTCCCTATATGATGACTTCCAGAAACAATGTTGGAACACTGTGTGTTACCTTTATTAATACACTGATGACAGTATTGATCCACTGTCAACAGAGAAGTCACCGGCATGTCTGCGACAAAGGAAAAAATCTAGACAGTGAGAGGTAAAGACTCACAGATGCTTCTCAACTAGAATTACTAAGACTCAAAGAGAGTTTCCCATCATGTCCAGTTATTCATTTTATACCTGATTGGAAAGGTTTCTTGTTTGTTTTCAAGAAAATATGAAAATCAAGCAAATTTCAAAGACAGTGGGAGACCAGAAAGTCAAAAAACATTTCTGCCCCATCGTAATCTCAAGTCATTCTTTGGTGTAGTAATTTTCTCATTTTTAAGACCCTACCACCAACCTTGCTGCTCAGGCAGCAGAGATCTTCAAAGCAATAAAAACAAAGGCCTTTTCAATCACAAGATCACTCCTTGGCTCTTGGACTGAAAAAAGCTCCCTTGGGATTTCTATAGGAGATTCAGTGGAATAGACTGAAGCTCAATCACTCTTACTAAAATGAGAAATTTTTGAGGATGTATGTACTTCTTCTTTACTCTTTAAGGCCAAACACAGCTAGTATTAAGAATTCTCTCCATATGCTATATCAGACTTCCATTCTGGAAGCCGAGCTCTATCACCTGAAAAAGTTACCTTTCTAAGTAGAAAAAAACAGTAAACAAGCCAATTGTAGAACATCTAAGCCCTTGTGTTGAGGCAGTCAAACAACACCATCATCACTTAGCACTACACTGTATTCTGATTCAGTTTTAAGTGCTTCAAATTGCACACAAACAAGTGACTGAAGGATTGGCCACCTATCCAAAATTCATGGTAATAACTTTTTCTCAGGGGCAGATTTTGATCTATGCCAACAACTAGAATTGGCTCATCCCCACAAACCTCTTAGAAAAACCTTAGCCAGCACCTGGCTGGCTCAGTGGTTGAGCATCTGCCTTCGGCTCAGGTCATGATCCCAGGGTCCTGGGATCGAGTTCTACATCAGGCTCCCCAGAGGGAGCCTGCTTCTCCCTCTGCCTCTGTCTCTCCGTGTCTCTCATGAATACATAAATAAAATCTTAAAAAAAAAAAAATGGTCTCGGGAAGCTATACAGCTCTCTTTAAGAAAGGAGAACCACTGGTTCTAAACTCTAAAAAGAAATCCATAAAAAGATGAATTTTATGGTATGCAAAATAGATCTCAATTTGAAAGAAAGAAAGAAAGAAAGAGAAAGAAAGAAAGAAAGAAAGAAAGAAAGAAAGAAAGAAAGAAAGAAAGAGGCCTTTGTATAGTTTGAAGTGGCTATCCTTTCCACAAACTGATTGACACTGTTTTTTTTTTCTGGGGCTTGACTTGTTCCATTCTTCGGGGAAGGGAAGAATGCAGACAAGAACCGGAAACCTTTACAATAGCTCAACTACAGTTCTGTCATTTCTGATACTCATGAGGATTAAGAACGGTATTCCAAAAATACATGTTGAAGAGTTAATTTACATATCTTAAAAGTTTTCAACCAACAGTTTGCAAACTATATAACCTATTCTAATGTGTTAATTATCATACGTCGATATGGCACATGACTGTTAGAGAAATTGCCTTTTTGATTACAATTCTAGCTCAGCTTCTGTTCATCAAATAAATAAAGTCATAATAAAGAATAGCTTTATTAGCTTTACAGTGATATTTAAATGAAATGAGTACACCTAAATTCTTCCCAATAGTAAAATATAAAGTAGTACAAGAGCAATTTCCAGCTAATTATATAAGATTTAAATTTGTGCCAGATAACTTACACTTATATTGCCAGAAAAAGAGAGCATCTGTACAGTTTTTATGTAAATGTATTGAACACAAAAAAAGTGTGCTCTTTCCCATCTTAGGATACTATTTCTAGATGTTACATAAGGAATAAGCTCAAATGACACAAAACTGTAAAGTTTCACAATAATCATGTTCCACGAATTTATTCTTCAATCACGCACATTATAAATACCAAGAGTAATTTCCTATTACCTTGGGGGAAAAAAAAATACTTTTGACATACTTACAAGAGATAGCAGCAAACTGAACAGGTTACCAACATGGTGATGATAACTCTAAAAACAAACAAACAAACATCATTAGATAACCAGCAAACTAAGCAGACATTGTCAGATGGCTTAAGCCTCCTTCCCAAATTATCAAACTGGCAAGGTCTGTGCACCAAGAAAAGGGAACTGAATCTGCTCAAACACCAACAGACTGCACTCAGAAGTTTAAGTAATTAATATTTGTATTTAAAGGGATATGTAAAAAAAAAAAGGGGGGGGGGATGTATTGAGGCCGCGGCTTAGATAACTAGTCCAAACCCCCTACAAGTGAACACAAAAGGCCACACCGACAATTAGTTTTGACACCTAAGAAAACTACCAACTTGGTAGTTTTCTCTGTAATGGAATGACACTGTACTTGTAAAAATTTAACTTTCTAGGAGCACCTGACTGACTCAGTTGGTAAAGCATGCGACTCTTGATCTTGGGATCGTGAGTTCAAGTCCCACATTGGGGACAGAGATTACTAAAAATAAGCTTTAAAAAAAAGTCAGAACTGCATAGACTTACAATGAAAACGAGATGATTCCTTCAAAAAAATATATGTATATATATAACTTTCCAATGTTGACCTCTCCCCATCTCTATTCCTGTCTGAAAAAAGTTAAACATGGATCTCTGAGCAGCTGAATCTCAATATTTAAAAAATTGAATTCATGGTATCCTCTCCCCATTTCTCTTTCCAAAGACTCCTCTTCCCAATTTCCTATTCCCCAGAGGAAGCTGTCATTTTTCACCTATCTGACCCACTCCTCAAATCTCTCATCATTATGTTCACACCTCCTCTGTACCTTTAGTCATCAAATGCTAGCAGATTCAAAACATTCTTCCTTCCTTTTCATCCTATCACAATCACCTCAGAGTCATCTTTCTAAAATAAACTTTCATCACATCATACTCTGAAGTTGAACCCCTTTCAATGCTCTCCATCTTCCATAGGAATAATTTCCAAAGAGGGGGTCTCCACATCCTACAGAGGAAGCAAGACTATCTCCTAGAATGCAAGTAGCAAATATCAGAATTCCTGTCTTTATTTTCAATTCATCCTTTATAAGTTATGTGTGTGCTCATGTACTTTCTGTGGTTAATACTGACACATCCGTTCACTCAGTAGATTTTCAACGAGTGTCCAGTATGTACCAGACTCTGGGGAAAGAGTAAACAAAACGGATGAAAACCCCTGCCCTGGTGAAGTTCACAGGATCATAGGGGAAGACAAACGACAACAAACAAGATGAACATTAAACAAAAACTATTTACTTATGTATCATTAGTCTGGCAGGTGGTCAGTAAGTGCTAATGGAGAGGGGAAAAAAGAAAGGAGGATAAGGGTATACAGGGGTTGGAGGCTATGCTTGCAATTTTAAAGAGGGTAGTCAATTGGGGCACCTGGGTGGCTCAGTCTGTTTATATGACTGCCTTGGGCTCAGGTCATCTTGGGATCCTGGGATGGAGCCCTAAGTCAGGCCCTCTGCTCTGAGGCAAGTCTGCTTCTCCCTCTGCCTCTCCCTCTGTGATCTCTCCCACTCTCACTTTGTCAAAAAACAAAACAAACCAAAACAACCTTCAAAGACAGCAGTGAGGAAAGGACTTGCTGAGGACATGGCAAGTGAGTCCAGACCTCTGGACTGGGGAAAGAGCAAATGCAAAGGCTCTATGGTACTAGCAGTTAAAAGAGGACAGAGGCCAATGTGGCTGAGCAGAGCGAGAGGAGCCTAGTAGGAAGTGAGGTCGGGGAAGGGGAGAATATAGACAAGAATTGGAAACACCTTTAAAACAGTTCAATTGTAGTTCTGCCATTTCTGACCCTCATGAGGATGAAGTGCAATCTCTGAAAGGAAAAGAGAAGTTATTTGGAGGGATCTGAGCACAGGACTGACAAAATCTGATTCAGATTCTAAGAGGACCTCTGTAGAGGAGAAACAAACTGGGGGAGGAGAGGCAGAGGGAGAAGCTGTGAAACCAGTTTGGGGGCGGAGTTGGGGGTGGGGACTGCAATACTTCATGGACCAGGCTGGTAGTATCGTAGGTAGTGAGAACTGGACAGACTCTGGATATATTCTGAAGCAATATTCTTCAAAATATCTAACTTATACATTATGCTTATAATACACAAATAAGTATGCACGTGAGTTTGTGCTACAAAACTTTGACAGCTGCATAAAAAAAATGTTTGAAGAGCTACACAATCAAGTTCAGCTCCTTCCCGGTCATCAGTTCCCTCCACTCATCCTCACCACTGTCCACTTTCAAACAGCAAACTTCCACTCCCGAAAGCAGTTGGCCTCACCGTCCCCCAAAACACATCAGGTTTACTCTTCTCCATTCTGAGCTTTTGCACATTTTCCTCCATTCCTCTGCCTCGACCTGGAATCCTGTCTTCTGTCTCCCCTGAGGACCCTGAGGACCACCTCAGACAGCTGAAACTGCTGAGGCTATTTTTTTTGTTACCTGTTTCCCAGTTTCATATCAATAGCCCCCTCATTAAAATATCACCACCAGTCAGGCTGGCTAAGTAGGAAGAGCTTGATCTCTGGGATCATGAGTTTGAGCCCCACACTAGGAATAGAGATTACCTAAATAAATAAATAAACTTAAACCAAAATAAAAAATAAAATATCATATCCCCTCCAAATATGCCACTTACTATTTGGGGTGAAGTGTCATGATGAATGCGATTTACTTTCAAACGGTTTAGCAAGATTATATATATGTATATATACACATGTACACAAACACACATATTCACACATAAAAAAGCAAATATAAATGTGTTAACAATTATTATATCTAAGCGGTGGAATACAGCACTCTTACTATTCTTTCTGCCTTGCTGTATGTTTGAAAATGTTCTGTATGCTTGAAAAAACAGGAGCTGACTCAATTCCCTGTGATCTAGCTCCATCCCATGCCCCACATCTACCCCTAAAGGAGCCACTGTGAAAAAAATCTGAAGCTTTCAGACCATCTGTGGATTCCTAAAGAGAGGGAAATCATGAAAAAAATGGTCAGGAAAGCTGATTCCAAACACAAACTGTTTTTTATCTGGCCCATTTTCAGTTATAAAAAAGAGTAAGAGCAAGGTGTTTTCTTTAGGTCACAGAGAGATTTTTCTGCACTCTGATGTGTGTGGACCTTGCAGGGTATAGGATTTAACATCAAAATCTCTTCTTCCCTTGCCACACAGTACCTTTACTTTATCTCTCTTTTTTTAAGAGTTTATTTATTTATTCATGAGTAACACAGAGAGAGGCAGAGACATAGGCAGAGGAGGGAGAAGCAGGCTCCCTGTGAGGAGCGCAATGCAGGACTCAATCCCAGGACCCTGGGATCACCACCTTGGCCAAAGGCAGACACTCAACCACTGAGCCACCCAGGTGCCCCTATTTATCTCTTTAATCAAAATGTTTTTAATCCTTTAAATCAGAATTGTTCTGATTAAAAATTCACCTAGTCCTTGAAGCAATTAAGTTCCTTCATGTATTAAAAAACACTTTAAAAGCCTTTCAGGAGATAAAGAGGAACTAGTATTAATTCAGTACTAGTATTTCTTTCCATCTTACAATGAGGAAAGGGAACACTGAAAAGTTAATTGTTCAAGGTCACAGGGATCATCCAGCTAGGAGCAGTGTTTCTCAAAGTGTAAAACAGTAATTCCTAGGAGACATTTTGTGTTTTAAGAACTGCTCAATCCTGCCAAGAGCAGGAAATAAAAGGATTAGGGTAGAGGCTGTGAATTAGACCCAGATAATTTATCATTGGCCCGTCAAACCTGAATCATGACACTAGAGTTGGAAACTGAGTAGTCCATGTATTACAGGAGACATTTCATTACCCTGGAAAACAGCAGTGGCATCAAGTCCCAAGGCTAGGCATCGTGGGTCCCAAATGAGGGTCTTTAAGAAAGGAGTGGTCAATGTTACAAGCACATCAAAAATGCTTTCCTGAGTATTTAGACTGGAAAAGCAGACAGTAGGGTAATGAAATAGTTGAAGATAGAAACAACAAAGTATTTTGTTGGTCTCTAACTCCAGTAGGAGAAAGAGGTCTAAGAAATTCAATTTGGTTAATACAAACTGATTTAATAACCCTAGAATTGTAACACTCTGCATCATCTGTTATAGTCTAAAGAGATGACCCTCTTATCACTGATGTTATTGGGAGGAGAGGAGGGGAAATCGAATGCCACCAAATGATAGAAATTCATCTACCGTTTTTCCTTTTTAAACAAGGTGTGATTTACTTTCAAGCTAGATAGAAGTACCAAGTCTAATACAAGTGTATTCCAGACAGCAAAAGGAGTTTAGGTCACAAAATATTAAGGAAGTGATAGCATTTTATTTCCCCTAATAAAAGCAATAGAATTATCCACTCAATGGGTATTTATTGAATGAATGCCTACTATGCATGCTGCATAGGCCACCAATTTGTTGGTGCTTGGCCAAGCTCCAACTTAGCCTAAGTTTCACTCCACATGATCTCAGGATGAGAAAAAATGACTAAAAGGCAAAAGAGGAACCAGAAGGAGGGTGTTCCAAAGCTCCTTTGAAGACAAGGCTCTATCTCATACTACAATAGAAAAGATTTACTTAAAAAATAGATAGAGCTCTATGTAGCCAAGAAGTCTAGGTTTTAGTCAATCATTCTAAGAACCTGGTACACTCGCATACAAGCGCAGAACCACCCTCCCGTATGACGCGGGGGCTTCTAAACAATACCTCCTGCCCTTCGGTAATTAATCTCGCTTTAGATCAGGCCCCAGCTACCCGGCGCCCACTAGATGCAAGGCCTGGGCTCCGCGCTGCTGCACAAGCTTGTGTCCCGAGCAACTGCGACATGAGAGGCACAGAGGGCAAGTTCTGTTTTATTCGATCCCTTCCTTTAAAGTTTAGGCGTCATTTGAGCGGAGGGCAGGGCTTAAAGGGGTGAAAGCCATTTAGAAGAGACCACACTTCTCCCTGAGTCGGTATAAACCCGTTTCCCACGCACCCTCCCCAGACAGGCCCGTGGCGAGAAAAAATCCCCCTGAAACCCCTTCCCAAGGAGGGTCCGTCGGGAGTCAGCGTCCTCACCCTCGGACCGGGGAACAAAGGCTGCCGCCGTAGGAAGCCGGGCGTCTGCAGGCGGTCGGGGCCTGCCTGTGGAGCCGGGGACCACCCCGCGAGGTCTCTGACCCGGGCAGGTCGCCCGCTCCCCCGCCCGGCCCGGCCCGGCCCGTCCTCGCCGCGCGTCCTTCCCAAGGCGGGCCCCTAGCGCACTTACCCCCGGTTGGGACCCTTAGGGATAAACCAGGGCACGCAGAAGCCGACGAAGCCCCAGAACACGCTCATCACGATGAGAGGCACCGTGAGGCCGTTGTACGCCATGGCTGCCGCGGAGGCGCGAGCCCCTGCCCAGCCGCCTCGCTTCGGTCCCACCCGGAAGTGTCAACACCGGGCCGCGTGACCAGCGCGCAGACCCGCCTCCACGCCCCACGTGACTCCGCGCCGGACCCCGCCCCCGCCCCGCCCCGCCCCCCCCTCCCGGGCACCCTGTTCTTGGACTGTGGTTGCCGCGTGCGGTAGCCGTGTTTCCTTACCTCGAGTCACCACCAGCTTTCTTCATTAAGCAGAATGGGCTCCGGGATGAAATGGGAAGCTGGACCTACCCTCGTTAACATCTGTTCCAGCTCCAAACATGATTCCAAACTGTCACCTGGCCGGTATACGGGAGAGTAGAGGGTCATCGTGTCCATCTAGCAGGAATTCCGCCGTCCTGAAGTTCCACTCCAAGCGCTGCCTTCTCCAAAACCGGTTTCATTCCGTCGGTGTGTCCCTTGTGGCCGTGGATCGTAACCGACCCTGTACTGGAGAGCGAACTCCCTGAGGACAGGCACTGTTGCACGGATCGTCGCTCCTCGGGAGTACCTACACGTAGAACGTGTTCGGTAAGCACATGTACAACTGAACTGAGTAACAAAGGGTGAGGTCAGCCAGAACTAAGAGAAAAAAGTCTCCTTTCTATTTTTTTCTTAATTTATTTTTAATTGTGGTAAAATATACATAAAATTCGCCATCTTCGCCATGAAGTGTAGAGTCAGAGAGTATTAACTATATCCATGTTGTTGAGTCCCCAATCTCCACAACTTTTTCATGCCCATAAAACAACTCCTCCTTGTCCCTTCCCCAAGCTCCGGCAACCCCCGTTCTACCTTCTGTTAAGTTTGACTACTCTAGATACCTGATAGAAGTGGAACCATACAATATTTTTCCTTTTGCGACTGCCTTGATTCACTTAGCGTAATACTCTCAAGCCTGATTCATGTTGCAGCCTTTTTAAGGCTGAATAACATTCTGCTGTATGTTATATGCCACATTTAGTTTCTTCATTCATCTGGAGATGGACGTTTGAGTTGCTTCCACTTTAGCTATTGCAGATTTTTCCCCCTATTTCTTAAATAAAGGCAAATATTTTAAGCTGATGCCATTAACCTTCGCCTGGCCTTCCTGGCAACTTCTTTAAAAACCAGGTGTTGGCGAGCCCAGGGATGTGGCCGTTCAGACACCAGTTTTGTGTAAATCTGTTTCATCCTCTGTGAAATGAGAAAATCCCCACCTTTGCTATCATAGCTGTGGGCTAGTATTGACCAATAGCTCCCTCTATCAGTCAATCTGTCAAAAACATTTTATCACACATTCCAAGTAAGAACTGGTGTCCAAGGCCAGGGAACTAAAAGATTCAGTAGAATGAAGAAATATTCTCCCCCTTCAAGGCACTTAAAGTCTACTTCAGGAAAACGTCAGTATGGCTCAAGGACCCTAGGGGAGTCCCTGGGACTCTCCCAGCAGGTCTGTAAGGGCCTCTCTGTTCTAACTACCAATCTGTGTGAAGCTGAATTATCCATAGTCCTATGCTTTACCCAAATATGTTGCAACAGATTGAATGCAGAAGTATTATTTAGGATCCACTTGTCTTCAATATTGAGCCAGACGTTAAGGAATTTTTCAGAAACGTAATACTATGTTGTTCTTCCCACTATATTTTTCAATTTGGAAAAAAGTTATTTCCCAATAAACGTTATTTCTGTTCATGTATTACAGGTTGATCATTGTTATTTTAAAATGAATCTAAAATAAATGTTAAATTTTTGTTCTAACTTATAATATGGTAAATTATATTATTGATAGAACCCACATAAAAGTTAGATTTTGGGGGATCCCTGGGTGGCTCAGCGGTTTAGCGCCTGCCTTTGGCCCAGGGCGTGATCCTGGAGTCCCGGGATGGAGTCCCGCGTCGGGCTTCTGGCGTGGAGCCTGCTTCTCTCCCTGCTCCTGTGTCTCTGCCTCTCTCTCTCTCTCTCTCTCTCTCTCTATGTCTATCATAAATAAATAAATCTTTTTTTAAAAAAAAGTTAGATTTTGGGTCCACAATAATTTTTAAATGTGTAAACAGGAAAAGTCTGAGATCAACTCCTAGAGGAAAAACCTCCAAGGCAACCCCAAAAGGATAAAACAAGTAAGAACTGACTGAAATGCTACAGTGTAACCCCACTAATCCCCTTTCCTAAGCTCAGGCCTATAAATAAAAACAGGCATGCAGAGTCCAAGCTGATCTGGAAACCTGGAAGTTAGTGGAGAAGCTGAAAACTCCAGCATGCTTTACAACTCATTTGCTCAGCATGTCTGTATGGAACATGCCCTGCAGGTGACCACCATTCATTTCTTGAGTGACAGCTATATGCCATTGAACCCTGTGCTTTGAACTACCTCTCATTTAATATTCACAACACCTATCATGTTAAGATCACTTTACCTATTAGGAGAGGCTCAGATTTGTAACTTGCCCAAAGTCTGTTTTAAGTAACAGAACTGGGATCTAAATGCAGGTCTTCATAACTCGCATTCTTCCCACCAACCCATCCTGCCTATTTCAGACAGTAAGACAACCAAAAAAACCCCTAAGTTATGCACAGCTTAACAAGACAGAGACATCTAATTCATAAGGTGAGACCTGTGAAAGCCTGTTCTTGAACTTGCTGCTCTCCTGCTAGGGGTAGGCTAGGATGTGGTTGACAAGTTATTTCTGAAGGCCAAAGATTATTTTATTTAATATTTGTGCATGCTTATAACTATGGTGTCCAAGCAGTAAATCAACTTTATATTATAGAGCTGTTTATACTTGGATGACCTGCCTTTCTCATGAAGACTTCTTCATGGATCAGACTTTTAGTAAGCACCCAGTCACATATGCATAGACTATTTCTGGAAAAAATACAAAGGAACTGGAAACAGTGACTGCTTCTGGGGATAACCGAGTAACCAAGAATCACAGTGACAAGGAAACTTACTCTTCACTACATAACTTTTATACCTTTTTATGTTGTACCCTATGTAGATATTAATTTAAAAAAACTAATTTAACAGAACAATGAACAAAGATACAAGCCACCAGATGGGAAGTGCTCAGAGTCCATAGTATCAGCAGAGTATGGTAGATTCTTGGTTACTAGAGTTCAGCCTGGTTCTCAGTAGATTCATTTACCTGCCTGCCCAACTCACACTAAGAGCTCTGTAGCTGAATATGTCATGCCTGAGTATAATGAAAGCAGACATTCAGAAGCAGTTATCTTAAGTCTGGAGGCTTCCCAAAATAGCACAGGGGACTCACCCAAGTGAGTGGACATCTGCAAATTCAATGAAAAGGTTAGTAGGAAACTGCTTAATTCAAAGGTATCCCAGGAAACATGCTAACATCCTTGGGCCTGAATGTTGACAGGCAGACATACCCATCTGGCATTCTCCAGTCATTTGCTGCCCAAACAGAATACCACTGTCTTTAAATCACCCTCTTCATTCAAGGATGGCTGGCTCAGTTGGTAGAGCCTGTGACTCTTGATCTTGGGGTTGTGAGTTTGAGCCCCACATTGGGTGTGTAGAGATTACTTAAAAATAAAGTCTTAAAACACACACAACACCAAAAACTCCAAGAACCCATGTTTATTTGAACTCCGAGAAAAACTTTTCCCTCTGTTCTTGCAAACTCCCTGCCAATCTCCTCTAAAAAATAATAGCTAAAATTTGCTGAGGTCTGTATTCCACATGCTGTATCTCGAGTATTCAGTCTGACAACTGTAGGATTTCCATCTTCTAAACGACAAACTGAGGGCCAGAGGTTAAGCAATTTACCTTACCCAAGGTCACACAGCTAGCAACTGATAGAGCTGGGATTAGAACTCACATGTGATGCTGAACTGCTCTTGACCATGCACTATGGCTCATATGGCTCAGTTTAAGCAGTCTGGTACCATTTGGTTGCCTGTGAGGGGCTGGTGGTGGGGATTACAGTTCTCAAAGCTCTCATCATTTGTATCGAACAAGCTATTGAAAATGAGCCAAATCTGACTCCCAGGAAACATCATAATTTAATCTTATTGATGAACATAATGGCTGGAGTCTAGGGCCCAGACCAGGTATCAGAATATATCATCCTTACTATAAATTTAACATAGTATCAAACCCAACTTTTATGTAACCTTTGGGGTGCTAAGTTATGTGTGGAGAATAAAAACAAAACTCAAATTAGAAAAAACAAACTACAGACCTTACTGTTTATCTACTCACTAGACTACTAATGATAACATGTACCTACTTTATGTGCTGCGTGTATATATACTCTTTTTTTTTTTTTTTTTAAGAGAGAGAGAGAGTAGAAGCAAGTGAGGAGCAGGGAGAGGCAGAGGGAGAGGGACATACAGAACTCCAAACAGGCTCCATACCCAGTGTGGAGCCCAACACAGTGCTCCATCTCAAGACCCTGAGATCATGACCGGAGCGGAAATTAAGAGTCAGATCTTAACCAAAAGAGCCACCCAGCTGCCCTTTTTACATATATCATATATACATATTTCCCAAAGTTAACTGGTTGTAAGCATCACAGAAGAGTCATGCCAGAAATATGTATGAACTCAACACCTGAAAAGGTCTCTCTCCAGACTTACTGCATCAAGGAATCTCCCGTAAGGGGGCGGAGACTAGTATTAGTAAGCATCCAAGTGATTCCTAAAGTCAGGAGAGTCTGGTGGACCACTACTTTAATTTTCACATTTGATAGCATTTTCACAAAGAGAAGCATTTTCAGCTTACCAAGACAGGGAAACAAGCTCATAAAAATGCCCAAAGACCAAAGCAGAATTTGAATTCAGATCCCTGTGGCTTCAGAGCCAAGACAGTATCATTCTGCCTACTTTCACATCAATGCCCCAAAGTCAGAGAATGCATGCTGAATTTTGTAGTTTGTGATTCCATTGATTTCCTTTGTGAAAAATTACCTTCTTCAGTGCAAAATGCATGTAAGAATTGGAAATACAAGTAAACATTAGAGATATCAGCATTTGTACACTCAGAGTTAGAGTCCTCGGAAAGAGCCTATTTGATCCTGCCATTTTCATTGAGACAGGAAGGCAGTGCAGATACTAACCAAGTGCTTTACTACTGAGAGAATGGAGGCTCAGAGGTAAGTAACTTGCATAAAGGTTTACAACTATCCTATGGCAGAGATGGCAACAATGCTTTTCCCACTCGGCACTACTACTGCAAATATTTAGGTTCTTCTCCTTGTACATAGATGTCCAGTCTCTTGTGAGACTCTGGTACAGGACTGATGGAATGAAAAAAAGAACACCAGAGATGGATGGCTAAAGTGGGATGTGGATGGTCTTTGATGCAGTCAGGCCTGGGTTCAAATCCTGACTCTATCTCTTGTGTTCTCTAAGATCTGGACAATTAATCTAAGCTCATTTTTCTTCATCAATCAAGTTGGGAAATAACAGATGCAACCAACACTTACCAAGAAACTCCAATGTGTAAGGCCACAGGTCACTAGAGAGCCATTAAAGGCATTTTATAATTTTATGCATTATCATTTATAAATTATAATCAATAATTGATCATCAAAGCAAGGATTTTACGTTTTTCCTTTTTAAAGTAGGCTCCAGTGTGGAACCCAACATGGGGCTTGAACTCACAACCTTAACAATGAGACCAGGGTTGAGATTGAGTCAGATGCTTAGCCAACTGAGCCACCAAGGCACCCCAAGGGAGGATTCTGGATGTGGATCTGGAGCTAAATCATGAAGGGTAACTAGAAGTTACATAAGCAGTTAGGGGTCTCCAGAAAAACAGAGAAGTCATTTTACATCCCAGCTATTTTCCATGATCTACGCCTAACTGGCTTTTCTTGCCCTAGCACACTTCTTGCAGAAGTCCTAAGAGGTATCAGAATTACAAAGAAATACAAAAACCTCAATAGTTAAGGATTTTAGGAAATAGTTTAAGGATTTTAAGAAAAGACATGGGCAAGTTCAGCTCTGTCATAGTGTCTACCACTAATGAGGAAGAAGAGGAAACTGAGGCTAGAGAAGCTGCTGACTCATATGCACAGAATACCAAGGTGATTGAAAAACAGCTGGAGCGCAAAGGCATGAACAAAAGGCAGCCGCAAGAGGTAGCTGAACTGGAAGCCAAGAAAGCAAAAATCAAGAGGACCTTGACTGATAACTAGTTCAAGTGAATCAGGACCTTTCTTTCAACCCTGACCAGAGGCAAGCATTTAGATGAGGAGGAAAAAGAACTTTGTCTGGACTCCATGGACTAGTGCCCACCTTTTTGCCCCAGCAGAAGGCTTTACATTGCTTCCCATTGATTCCTCCTACCTTTGGTGAGGTCTTTGAGTCCATCTGACCTGCTTTCTAGAGATGGGTTTTCTAAATCTTTCTGTATATGGGTCTTCTGTACTATATACAGTAAATTTCTTCAGCTGTGTAGAAACTATGAATACATCAGTGCTCGAGTGTCTCTAGTTTCTAAAGTAGCTGTTCTCCTTCCTTCTTCAAAGTTAATAAAATGTTTAAAGATGTTTGAAAAAAAAAAAAAAGGATTTTAAAGAATTTTAAGGAACAAAGGCCGCCCAGATAGAATGCAAAAACTAACAGATTTTACTAGGCCATCAAATCAGTGGTAAAACTCCTCCCCCCGGGGTTGTTTCAAAAGTAAGCAAGGCCCTGTATTCCTTCCCTGAGATAAATCCAAGACCCAATCCAATTTATATTGGCTCTTGGAGCGGGCCCATAACCCCCTCCCCTTGTCCAATAGTTACCTCTGCTTCATTATAGTGTTAAAATCCCCACTGCAGGAGAACAAATCTCATTAATATTACATACAATGCTTCAATAGGCATGTTTGTTTGTGCCCACCTCTACCCACAATGAAGAAACTTCTCTGAATATTCATCGTAATCCTAAATAAAAGAAGCCTATTCACCCCTACTTGGGGAGTCATGGATTTGGAAGCTAACCCCTATAATCTTATTTGCTGCAATAAGGTTTCCTTTGTACACCACCACTTGGTGTCGTCTCTATCTAAAACTCACTAAGGAGTGAACTTATGGTTGATTGCAGTTAGACCTGGAGTCTAAAACTCAAGATGCCGGAGGGGGGGCAAGTTGGGTACACGAGTGGAACAAATTGAATAGGGAGCAGCCAGCCCCTGAGCACCACACAACTGATGCTATGTAGGACCAGGGCCCCATGCAACCAGATGAAGCAAGATCTAGATTTCTCTGTTAAATCCCTCAACTTTTAAATGTTGGAAATTGACCTATTAAAATTATGAAAACAATAGCAGGACAAATGTAATCTGTGAGCCAAATCTTGCCTACAGGCTGTCAACAGTTTCCTGAGTTAGCTCCAGGTGAAAGGAAGGGCATTTCTTTCATTTGGAAATGAATTTGCAAAGTCAGACCTTGGGAAGGGCAACCTGTTCAGGGAGCTGCATGCCATTTGGTTTGGTTGGAGCACGAGAGGAAGCGGGCCATCAAGCTTGAGATAAAGTTGTGCAAAACAGCACCAGCCACTCAGTGAGGTCTTAGATGTGCCAGTTCATATCATGACTACCACTGAGCGGGACAAATCCCTGAGTTAGGGACCAGCACCCTGTCTACCCCAACAGCATGAGGGTCCAGGCAGGAACAGAGGTAGCCTACCACTGCTATTCCACTGCTTGATACACTAAACACAGGAAAGAATGGCATCGAGGAATTGATAGTAGAATGAATTTTATCAATAAAACCATGCAAATTCCCCTTCAAATTAGGAACATTTTCCACTGTTATTTATAAAATAATTAATCAAAACAGCAAAGGCAGATTTACAAAGCTACATTATCAATAACAAAACAGGAAGGAAATGAAGTGTTTGGCAGACATCTTAAGTTTCCAAGGAACACACACCAGGCTAAAAGTCTACAGTTAAACCGTGCTTGCACAACAGGTTACATTCACTCCTGCATTTTCTCAATAAGTTCTTCCTTATATTTGCCTTTCTCTTTTCCGACCTGTAGAGATTTGGCTTTGCTTTCAAGAATTTTTTTCCGATCTTTGTCCAGTTTTAGCCTGATGAGAACCACCTGTTAAGAGTGAGAAAATAGATGAAATAAATGAGAAGGATTTATAATTACAATTATTTTGTACAGAAGAGCTTTTCCCAACAATAGCAGTTTGGGTTCCTTCTGCTATCCACCTCCTACCCTCTAACTCCTGAGGATCTACGAGACCAGTTAGATAGTTTAGTGGTATCAAATACAATTTGGGCTGGGAAAAATTATACTACCAACATGCTTCTGGTTTGTCTCTCATCCCCTGGCTGGCAAAATACATTGTTTAAAAATCGTCTGTATTTCCACCAGCCAAATATGACCACAGATCATAAGGATAAGTAAGACTCACCATTTCTTCCCTTATCTGAAACTCTGGAGGAGAAAGACCCTATACTACAGAGCCAGAAATCAGAGTGCACAGGTGAGTGTGAAGGCCACAGGAAGAGATGTTCTCTCTTCTCTCCCTGGACATCATCTAGTAGGAAAGTGATACCCACAATACCTGGAATCCTCTTGCAATCTGCTCAAAGTCAGAGCCTTCACCAAGGATGACAAAACAGACAAGAAAGAATTCTGGACCCTTGATATTATCACTAAGCCAGTGAATCGAGCAAGCCTGCCTGACCTCCCTCTAGAAGTCTTTGCCTGGGGCACCTGAGTAGACAGTACCAACACACGAACTCTAACAACAGCACTACACTACACAGCTGCTACCACCACTCAGTCCCAGACCATACCTTGCTCGAGTGAATGCCCACATGGACAGTTGTATCATTAGCCTTCTCAAGCTGCACCCGCTCCACGTAGATGACATATTTCTTTCTGTACACCTGGACTACCTTGCCAATTTGCTGACCTTTGCAGTGTCCTCGAACCACCTAAGAGAAAATGCAGAAGAGAATTCCCCCCCCACTTTAATACATGAACATTACAGTGAGGAAACTAATTATCAGGAACACACAGACTAACATGCAACTTTTTGCACAGAAGATTAACCCTAGCAGTCAAAAGTTAGCTATTTTTTGGCTATAAATCTGCTGTGTTGTTCTAAGTCAGGTAAAATTCTTCACCTGAATTTTTTTCTTATCTAAAACAAAAAATTCCTTGAACTAGGATGGCCGTCACAGAACTAGTCCTGAGAGTAAAGAAGTATAATCACTACACACCCAAAACTAACACAGTCATATCATCAATTTTATCTCCGTTAAATAAAAGTATGTAAAATTTAAGAAAGAAAAAATATAATCGCTCCCAACTGATTAAATGGAGAGGATGGTTAAAGATATACTGAGGAATGGTTGGGTGGCTCAGTGGTTGTGTGAGTCTTTGGGCTCAGGGTGTGATCCCAGAGCCCTGGGACTGAGTCCCACATCAGCCTCCCTGCATGGAGCCTGCTTCTCCTGTCTCTGCCTCTCTCTCACTGTCTCTCTTGTGATTAAGTAAATTTTAAAAATCTTAAAAAAAAAAAAAAAGAAGATATTATACTGAGACTCTCATGCAACCATTTAAAATACATGTTTTCAAAAAATAACACACGACCTAGGAAAATGCTCAAGATAGAACCTTAAGAAAAAAAAGAAAACAAAGCTTTATATGAAATATAGTCTGAATCTTGTGTATACATTATATACATATATAACACAATGCAATAGAAATCTATCTAAATGTCAGTAATAGTTACCAGGAAACAGGATTACAAATGACAAATGACTTTTTTAAAAAAATGTATATTCTTCCAAATTTCAAGGTTTTTATTTTTATTTATTTTTTTTTAAAGATATTTTTTTTAAAGAAAGCTCCACGCCCAGCATGGAACCCAACTCGAGTCTTGAACTCACAACCTTGCATGAGATCAAGAATCAGACACTCAATCTACTGAACCACCCCAGTGCCCCCAAATTTCAAGATTTCTATAATTAAATATTTTATAGTCAGAAAAAAATTAAAATGTTAAATTAAAATCTCTTGGGCTGTTCTCACATACTAAATATCTACTTACGTGCCAATACCATTCATAACCACCTAGATTACGGTTTCCCTGAAGGCACAGCCTTTTTTTTTTTTTAAGATTTTATTTATTCATGAGAGACACACAGAGAGAGACAAGGCAGAGACTCAGGCAGAGGGAGAAGCAGGCTCGCTGCAGGGAACCTGATGTGGGACTCGATCCCAGGACCCCAGGATCACACCCTGAGACAAAGGCTCAACTACTGAGCCACCCAGGTGGCCCAGCACAAGCCTACTAAACAGGAGCTACAATATAATTGATGCTGATTATAATCAACTTAAAGAAAATACCACACATATAAAAAACTGGAGAATCTCAATACTCCTAAAATGTCTATTTAGATTGTTCAGCTTATGTACCAAGGTGGTCTTCACTGAAAATCCACCACCCTATGTATGACCAGAGACTTTTATGTGGAAAAGTCTGTGAAAAAGCCCCTCTTAACCATCCTCAAGACTGACAAAAGACGTTAATAAAATGAATCCAAAGGACCCTGCTTAAAGAAAATTGGACAAATACTAGCCCCAGTGAGGAAATGGACAGGACAAAACTAACCTGGCTGGCCTGGAAAGGGAGGGAGAAAAGGCAAAGATGGCATCCGGAGTCTGGTTGGGCAACTAGATGGATATGCCTTTCCCAGAAGCATGGGAACATGGGGTAAGAAAGATGTTAGGAGAAAACACTGTAGTTGGGAACATGCTGAATTTGAGGCATCTCATGACGTTCTAGTAGAGAATTTCATACACAGCTGGAAGATCAACTGGGTTGGCAACAAGGACCTGGGAGTCCTCCAAGGATGACAATTCGGAGCCTGATTTTGCTCAGGGAGCTGGTGGTATGAGGGCAGAATGTAGAAATCTGAGAAGAGTCAACATTTTAGAAAAGCTTGTAAGAGAGACTAGAGTAGCCATAGAGAATGAGAAATCAGGGGACTGAGGGGTTACAGCAGCCAAGGAAAGAATGTCAAACCATGGAATGGTCAACTACAGGAAGGATCAAGGAACAAATGTGACAACAAACTCGTCACTGGTGATCATGCTAAGTGTGCTTTCAGTGGAGCAGAGGGATGGAAGCCGTTTATAGTAAGACAATGAGTATATGAGAGATGAGAAGGTGAAGGTAAAAAACAAAACAAAACAAAACAAAAAAACAGTCCCAAGGAGCCTGGCTGTGAAGAGCATGAGTACATACACTAGAGGGAGATGTGAGGTTAAGTGATAATTTCTTATTTTTAAAGAAATGAAAATATGAATGTGTTTAAATGCTTATGAGAATGAGCAAGTATAAAGGAAAAGTTAAAGGAAACTACAGAGAAAAGGGGTAATGGATGGAAGGATCTCAAGAGAAGAGAATGGAAGACCACTGTATACAATGGCAGATGGATTCACTTTAGACAGAAACAGGAATATTTCTTTCATCACAATAGGAGGGAACAAAGACAACAGGGGTAGAACTGGAGGTAAGTCAGAGGGTCTGGAGCCAGGAGTTCAGAAAGGTGGGTGACAGTTTTAATTTCCTCTGTCACGCAGGATGGAGAGTCCTGACCGACGCAGTAGTGGGTGAGATTCAGAAGATCCCAAAAGAGAAAAGGCAGTTGTAACAAACCCACTTGGGACTATTTTACTCTCCTGGTGGAGAAGTGTTTGTCCACTATAGCCTTTGGAGTCAGACCTGTATTCCTGGCCTAGATACTCATTTTCTTTATTATTGAACCTGAGTTTCAGGTTCTTCTTATCTACAAAGGAAACAATTCATACCTCAGGGGCATTGAATGCATGCCTCTTAGGCACTGAAAAAATGGCCACACCTTTTCCCTGGTCTTCCTTTTGTTTATGTCACTTAATTCTATCCACTCTATAATTTTTTCATTCATCCAACAAATAACGGCTGTGCCCCTGAGGGTGCCAGGCTCTGCTCTGAGGTCAGGCAACAAAAAAGAAAAATTCTCTGGCCTCATCTTAATGTAATGGGTAATAAGGAGTTAATGAATAAACATGCAAATATGTGATTACTAACTGGAACAGGGCACATAGGAACTTACCTGATTGTATCTCTGGTGATAGCTACATGGCTTTTCATCTGCCAAAACTCACCTGTGCATTTTACTACATATAAATTATGCCTTACTTTTACTTATTTCTCTTCCATTTGTGGAAACATTTAACAATCCATTAAAGGACGGCCGGATGGCTCAGTGTTTGAGCATCTGCCTTTGGCTCAAGGCGTGATCCCAGTTCAGGGATCAAGTCCCACATCAGGGTCCACGTGAGGAGCCTGCTTCTCACTCTGCTTGTGTCTCTGCCCCTCCCTCTCTCTGTGTCTCTCATGAATAAGTAAATAACATTAAAAAAAAAACAATTCATTAATAGCATACAGAAGTACAATAACAAGGTTTAAACAGAATGATGGAGTGACAGAAGTAACAGGTACAAAACCAGGATTACAGAAAGCTTCAGACTTCAGAGGAGGATGAGGCAGAGATTGCAAGAGAGAGAGGTATTCATTCATATGGTTCCCAAATGGGAAGGAGTGGCTCCAAGACAGACATACATTGTACACTGGGGACCATAAGATCTGCAAAACTGGGGATCCCTGGGTGGCGCAGCGGTTTGGCGCCTGCCTTTGGCCCAGGGCGCGATCCTAGAGACCCAGGATCGAATCCCACATCGGGCTCCCGGTGCATGGAGCCTGCTTCTCCCTCTGCCTGTGTCTCTGCCTCTTTCTCTCTCTCTCTCTCTCTCTGTGACTATCATAAATAAATAAAAAATTTAAAAAAAAAAGAAAGAAAAAAGATCTGCAAAACTGCCCTGTTGGGTAGAAATACTAGTTAATTGTCTGGGAGAGTAACCAAAAGGTTTTCATCATTTGGTAGCAACTGGAGGCTACTACAGATTTCTAAAGAGAATAATATGTAAAAAGTAGAAAAGCTAGAGGCAGGGGACTCGAAATAATCCTGATACAGAATCACTGGAGCTACAAATGAATGTAAAGATGATAGGTCACATTAAAAAAAAAAAGGGCAGTAAATCCTGGGCACAGGAGGAGGATGAAGGAGATAGAGTAGAAGAAGTTTAAGCATACCAGCCTTGGAAGCACAAGAATGTAGCAGCTGCCAGGCACAAGGGGAAACCAGGCTAAGCCGAAGTGTTCTTGCAAAGGAGATAATGAGTTCTAAAAAGCCAGTCCAAAAAATAAGAGGCAAGAAGAAGTAGGCATGCAAACTGAATTGAACATGTGCAGATCTGGAGATGCAGGGGTCAAAACGAATGCGACTATTTTGGGTGCAGGGGCGGGTGGCAGTGTGCTGCAGAGAAAGAAGAACTAGGCATGGGTAAAGGTTCGCATGCGAAAGGTGAAGGAGCTTCATAGGCCGGAGAGAACTGGTAAACTCTCACTGAGGAGAACCTTGATGTGGCCTTAACACGGGCCAAAAAGCACAGTATTCTGATGTGTGTCTCCCTGGATGTCAGTCATGGCTTCTCTGAGCTTATCCTGAACTCGCCTAGAATCCTTAAGAGTTACCAAAGGCAGAAAAGAAGTGTTCCTCCCATGAGTCCAACTTTGAATCAGTGTCTTCAGAGAGAGAACAGGTTTTAAAATTCTGACCTTGGGAGTTAGGGCCAGAGATTCCCTCTCCAACCCTGCTGGGATGTGACGGGCAGTTCACATTATCTCAAGAGGGAGCTGGGACTTCAATCACTTCACTTCAGTTCCATAAGCAGAGCAGTGGAGTGAAAGCTCCGGCCTGGCTGAAGGTTGAAACGATTTCCAGCTGTGATGCCATAACTTGGCACACCACACCTATTCTGGAACCACCTGGATCTTGGACTCAGGGAGCAGGGTGAGTGCAGACAGGCACTGGCAGGGGTGGATATCGGGATACTCGGTGTGGAGGAAGACAAGCTCCAGCAGCTGCAGGTGGGCCCAGTATGCCTCAGTTTATTTATTTATTTTTTTATTTTTATTTTGTTATGCCTCAGTTTAAAAAGAAATTCAAATTGTGTTCATCACTATGAAACAAGTATAAATGGAGGGTGCTATGATACCATGCTGATTAATTTGTCTGGGAAGGCTTTTCTAGGGAACTGACATTTAAGAAAACACTTGAGAAATGAGGAGTCAGTCAGGCAAAGAGGAGAAGGAAGAGAACTCCGGGCAGAGGGAGGCTTCTGGGCAAAGACCTGAGGGAGCAAAGATCAAGGCATACTTAAGGACCTGAAAAGGCCAGTGCGTCTGAAGTACAGAGCACATAGGGGTATAACAGGATGAGGGGAGGCTGGACAAGGAAACCAGGACTGGGGCACACAGGGCCTTGTTGTCAATGATTTTACATTTCATAGTAAACAATTTAGCACCAAAGATAGGTTCTAAGCAGAACCTGATTTGCAAAAAAAAAATGCCCCTCTGTGGAGAATGCCTGACCAGGGTAAGACTGGAAGCTGGAGATGTCTTGAACCAAACTGGAAATGTAAAGGTGTGGTCAGATTCAAGACTTATTTTAGAGATAGGATCAATAAGATTAAGTAATGTGTTAGAAATGGGTAGGAATAAGAGAGATGTTAGGGAGAATTTAAAGGTTTATGGCACAGGCAGGTGAAAAGGTGTTGCTTATCAAAGTGTGAAAGATGGGAGGAAAAGCAGATTATAGGTAGTAGCAGTGTTCCGATCAAGAGTACTCCCAGATTGGAAGCTTGAGACGACTACAAGATTTTTAGGTAAGGATGTTCAGCATATAGATAGATCCACAGGTCTGTGCTCTGTAAAGTGGATTGGACTGGGATACAAAAGAGGGGGTTGTTAGCATTGGGCGGACACTGAAAGCTCTCAGAATAGATATTGTCACCCAGGTAGGCAATGTAGGCAAGATGAGAGGTCAGATCAGGTGCAAGCCCTGACAAACCAGCATTTAGAGATCAGAGGAGAAACAGCCAGCAAAGGAGTCTGAGAAGTCAGAAGTAAACTGAGCCAGAAGGATCACAGAAGCCAAAAAGCTATTTTAAGAAGGAAGGCAGTGCTACCTACACCAAATGCTGCTGAAAAAGTCAAGCATGATGAGACCAAGATGTGTCCACTGGATTTAGTCACAAACAGGTTATCGGTGATCTCAGCCAAAAGCAATTTCTATAAAGTAGTGAGATACAGATCAGACTGGCGAGGGTCTACATATATATGGGGAAGTGAGGAAGCGTAGACAACTCTTTGGTGGATGCTGGCTATACATGTGGAACAGAGAGTAGAAGCTGGAAGGAAAGCGGGACCAGGAAGAAAAACTAAACCTTCCCGTTTTCTTGCAAAATCAAGAATCTGACAAGGATCCTACATTTCCCTATGGTAGCGATGGGCTGAAGGTACACCACGATCTCCTTTAAATGAGGTGTGAGCTTTCCAGTTGCTATTTTCTTGCCATCAGCCAACTTCTCTTTTTAAATTTGCCTACCTAGTCCTTATATGTATTTGCAATTCCCCCATTCTAGAACATGTCTAATGAGGAGGACCTAGAAGAGAAGTTGCAACTGTTGATCATACCTATGAACTATTCTTTCCACTCTATTCCTGTCATTGCCTCAGGCTAAGTAATCCCCTGGTTTCAAGCGTCTCCTCAAAATGTTCCTCAAAGTTTCAAAGTATCCCAATGCCTTAGAAGACGCACCAAATCCCTTTAGCCTTATCCCATTTCATTCTCTAAAACAGCGGTTCTCAATTAGGGGAAGAGGGGATGGATTTCGCCTCTCCCTCCACAGGATCATTTGACAATATCTGGAAATATTTTTGCTTGTCACAAATGTGAGGAGGTACTACTGCACCTAGTAGGGAGAGGCCAGGGATATTGCTCAACATCCCACCATGCACAGGAGAGCTCCTCACAACAAAAAGTATCCAGTGCAAGATGTCAACAGTGCTGAGCTTGGGAATCCCTGCTCTAAAATGGGCTCCCTGCTGACAGGTGCCTTGTCAGTCCTGCATACTGCTCATGTCTAGAACAGGGCCTGCTCCATAAATACTCCTTCAAGGAGGTAATCTAGCACCTTGTCTATCGCAATCATCCCCCACTCTCCCTTTCTTAACAGGCATCCCAAGCTCTAGAAGAACAGACAGCTTATACTTTCTCAGAAGGCTCATTCGCCCTCATAATTTCATGCTTCTGACTTGCTGCCTCTCTATTCTCTCTGCCAAATCCAGTACCACCAGATGCCCAGCCTCCAGTATACTCAATGATACTGAAACATTACTCTTATCATAGTACTTCCTCTGGGAGAATCTGGGTCAAAGAGCCACCCTGAACAGCGCTGGGGGAAACTTGCAGCCAACGCACTAAATCGAAAAGCAAAGTTTTGCTTGGATGCTATATTATTTTTCTTAAACAATCATATTATTAAAGAATTGCATCTGAATGCTCTCAGTTAAGCTGGGGAGGCACACTCTCGTGGCTGTGGCCCCATCTCTGATCCAACACATCTGCAGGGGAACATTATTTGCCAGGGTCCTGAGGGCATGGGAGTCTAAGACTCCCTCCCCCACGTCCAAGCACAGTGACACGCAGCTGCGTAACTAGAGCCCGAGGGAGACCAACCTGGACCTCGTCGTCCTTGCGGATGGGCATGGAGCGGACGTTGCACTTCTGCCGCAGCTCCTTGGAGGGGGGGAAGACATGACCTTCCTGCGCACGTGCGAGGGGGCGTTGCAGTGGCGCTGGCGGTTTGTGCTGCAGCCCCAGGTCACGGAGGGGTTGAACTTCATGCTGAACATCAGCAGTGACAGGCGTGCGAAGGAGAGAAGGGTGCTCAGTCGGGTACCAGGGCCTACGAGGATGACTCGGGGAGGAGAATGGGGGAAGTGAAGGGCCTGGGGGTTACACAGTGTAAGGCCAGCCTGGGGGAACCGGCCTGACCACAGGGGGCGGGGGAAGGCGGCGGCCCTGGGCCTCGAGGCTCCCTGCGGGAGGAAGGTTCGCGCGGGAGAAGAATGCACAGTTGGAGGTCCCGCTAAGAGATCTCTGGGGAGGTGGGCGCCACCGCGGCACACGGGGGAACGATCCAGTGCGGCGGAGCCCTGCTCACTCACCTCGCGCCCGTTAGCTTCGGACCCCAGGCGCGCAAGGCCGGAAGTGAGGGCTTCCTTGCCGCGCGAGCGCACAAAGGAAGCCGAGCCCCATTCGCGTCGGAACGAGATCGGGTGGCGCCCCCTGCGACTTGGGGTGGGAGCGCAGCGGCTCGCGCCAGCGGGGCGATGCATCCCAGGGCTGTGCGGCTTCGGGGTCCTGCCAGGAACCACCAAGAGTTGGCACCGCCGGGGAGAAAGGGCATACTTCTGTACGGCCTGCAACAAAGGCCCACTGGTGTTTTGAAAATAGGTACACCCGGGGGAGCTCGGGGGGCTCAGCGGTTTAGCGCCGCCTTCAGCTCAGGCCTGATCCTGGAGAGCCGGGACCGAGTCCCAACGTGGGGCTCCCTGCGTGCAGCCTGCTTCTCCCTCTGCCCCCCTCGCCCCCCGTCTCTCTCTGTCTCTCATGAATAAATAAATAAAATCTTTAAAAAAAAATAGGTACACCAATAGCCTTTCTTATTCTAAACTCTTTCTTTGCCACTGTTACCCCTCGCAGGGGTGACCTAGACATATTGTCGGGTGCTTAAGCGTTTATGATCCAAATGCAATGCGCTGACTTGCTCCTTCAAAATCATTGAGAAGCCTCGAAAATGCAAATCTTTGTGCTCCATCACAGTCCTATGAAACCAGGCAGTGGTAGGTCGGGGTTTTATTTTATTTTATCATTATTTTTTTAAAGATTTTATTTATTTATTCATAAGAGACACAGAGAAAGAGAGAGGCAGAGACACAGGCAGAGGGAGAAGCAGGCTCCATGCAGGGAGCCTGACGTGGGACTCGATCCTGGGTTTCCAGGATCACGCCCCAGGGTGAAGGCAGCTCTAAACCGCTGAGCCACCCGGGCTGCCCTATTTTATTACTTTTAATAAAGATTTTATTTATTCATGAGAGACAGAGAGGCGGAGAGGTAGGCAGAGGGGAGAAGCAGGCTCCCTGCGGGGAGCCCCATGCAGGACTTGTTCTCAGAACTGAGGGAATCACACCTGAGCCAAAAGCAGACTCAACCACTGAACCACCCAGTCACCTCTAGGTTGTCCCTAGGTCTAGGTTTTAAAGCAAGTACTCCCCACCTCCTGCCCAGCCAAAGATTTTGAGGTGCAGCAATGTTTGGAGATTGTGAGAACCAACTGCCTCGCCTGGTCTTTCAAAGCTTCCCCCTAGTTTAAAAAAAAAAAAAAAAGTTATTATTTCTTTTAGCCCTGCGGGGGTAAAGCTAGGGTTGTAGAGTCAGACCTGGACCCTTCATGGTGCTTGACCTTGGGGAGACGCCTCCATGTTTCTGAGCCTCAGTTTTCTTATCTGTGAAAGGGGGTTGAGCTTAGTAGGTGACTCAGAGTTGTTACGAGGATTAGATGAGCCAATCCGTTGGGAGTGTTTAGAACTCAATTACAGTAAGTCATTATTCCTAATGAAAGCAGAAGGGCTTGCTCCAGGAGAGCCCTAAAGTCGGGCCTCACATCCACGAGCCCTCAACTTTCAGACTTTCGCCAGTAACTCCCAACGACGCAAACTGAGCGTTCTCTGCTGTAAACCTGTTCAGCACACCTGGGGGGCGGGGCCCCCTGGGCCTCCGCAGCCCGAGCTCGCGGCCACCGCCCCGCCCCGCCCCGCCCCTCCCCTCCCGGCCCCGCCCACCCTGGGCCCCCGCGCCCCCACCTCGCCGCGCCCCGCCCAGTCGCGTCCCAGCTCCGCCTCCCCTCCCGGGAAGACCGCCCGCAGGCGCGAGCGCCCCCCGACGGCGAGTCCGGCAGAGACACCCCGCGCAACCCGAGGAAAGGAAAGGCCTCGCTGTGCGAGGGACTCCCCGGGATTGATCGATTTGGGACGCCTGGGTGGCTCAGTGGTTGAGCGTCTGCCTTCCGCTCAGGTCATGGTCCCGGGGCCCTGGGATCGACCTGCATCAGCCTCCCCTCGCGGAGCCTGCTTCTCCCTCTGCCTGTGTCTCTGCCTCTCTGTGTCCCTCATGAATTAAAAAAAAAAAAAAAATCATTCAGTTCATATGTATTAAGCACCTACTTGGTGCCACATGTCAGAGAGAAGTCAGACTTTGTGGAGCTCAGTCTCAGTTAACAGATGGACACCCCGGAATTCAGAGAGGGGGTTGTCTTGCTTGACTCAGGCAGGTCCCCTGCTCTCCGTGTATTAGTGTCCTCAGGCATATGGTGATGCAATGTTAAACACCAGCATTTACCCATAGTCACGGTCAACCAGGGCACCTGCCTTGATCCCTGAATTGATGGGTTCTATTTCAGGTTTCAGCCGGTGTTGGAGACTTCTGGCCCTCAGACGCAGGGAGGATGGCCAACACCGGGGCTGTTTGTACAAGCCATGGCAGCAGGGAAAGTGGTGTGTGAAACATGTTGAGGCAACAGCAAAGGCCACCAGGTTCCAAGAGAAAGGAAGTTTGGAGGAGAAGCAGGAGAAAGGAGGATCTTAAATGTCTTCACCACAAAAAAGAAATGGCAGTTATGTGAGGTGATGGAAGTGTAAACTAAGCTACTATGGTAATCATTTTGCAATACCTGAGTGTATCAACTCAACCTGCTGTATGCCCTAAACTCAGTGTTAAAGCTCCATTATATCTCAAAGTTGGGACGGGGAAAAGAAGGAAGTCACTTTCCATGGGCAAGGCAGTAGTAGAAGCTATTAGGACTGCTCATAGAAAGTCAGAGGGTTCTTCTCCAGCAGTCCTTACAGGGTTCATCAGATCTAAGGTCCCCTACCCCCCCAAGTTCATTCATTCATACATTCATTCATTCACTCACTGGCTCCTCCTCTGTGCATGCATCTCTTATCTATCATGCTCATTCTTAACTCATTTACTTCAACATCTATCCATTTGCTCATCAATTTATTCACAGGTACTAGTACTTTAGCCACAGTACAGGCTTAGATCAAGGAGATCTGGGGAAGACGGAGATCTAGTCCTTGATCACAAGGAGCACAGATCCTCACTGGTGGAGGGCAACCATGAAGACAGATCATTTACAACCCAGGATAATCAAGGTACATTCATGATCAACCAGGGTGGGGAGGCATTTCTTTACACCCCTTGCCCCACAGCTCAGTAAAATTAAGACAGGTGCAATGACATCACCAGATAAGATCTTGAGAGCCTGAGGCTCGGTCACTCTAATGAGGACTTAGTGGGATCGACTACTATCTTGCCTCGTGTCCACCCTTGGAAACATGCACAGGAACTAGTATAGAAGCCCAGGACCTAGGACAGTGCTAGCACAGAGGAAATACCCAGGGAATATTTTTATGTCTCTGAGGCAGAGAGTGGTATGGTGGGGAAGTATGTGAGTCCTGATTCTGATTGCCTGGGTTTGGATCTCCATCACTTCTTGGCTGTGCAACTTTGGGGAAGATATTTAGCCTCTTGGTTACTCACTTTCCTCATCTGAGAAATGGGAGTAATAACAGTACTTACCTCATTGGTTTCATGCTAGGGTTAAATGAACCCTTAGCACAGTACCTGGCACAGAGTAAGCACTTAATAAACGGTAGAAATTATTATTAAATGAATAGTAATGGCTAATTTTACTTGGCTGAGCATTTAATGTCAGGTAATGTGCTAAGTTTTACAAACGCTGTTATTTAATCTGGTAAACAATCCTCTGAACTGTTCCTTTCACAGGTGAAAAAACAGGTTCTTTGGGGCACCTGGGTGGCTCAGTTGGTTAAGTGTGCAATTCTTGATTTTGGCTCAAGTTGTGATCTCAGGGTCATGAGTTTGTGAGATTGAGCCCTGTCTGGCTCCCTGCTCAGTGGGGAGTATGCTCCTTGATTCTCTCTCTCTCCCCCTCTGCCCCTACCCCCACTCACACCTGCACTCTAGAGAGCTCTTAAAAAAAATAAAAGGTTCTGAATGATTTTTTTAAAAGTAGGCTCCACACCCAACATGGGGCTTGAGCTCATGACCCTGAAATCAAGAGTCATATGATCTACCGACTGAGCCAGTCAGGCACCCCAAATAGGTTCTGAATGAGATGGGAGCAGAGGATGAACATGAACCACAATTAGATACTCAATATGCATATTATTACCTTGCAGCCAATAAAGATAATGATGAGATCCATAGTCCTTAACATAGGAAGAGGTCTATCGTAGGAGGTCTATTTACTCTGAAAAGAGTAAACTACAAAATAGTATTAACAGCACGATCCCATTCTGTTTACAGAAAAATATCACTAAAATGTTAACAATGATTATCTCTGGTTAGTGGAATCAGGGCTCACTTTAATTTTTCCTTTTTTGCTCTTTTCTGATTTTTCTCCAGTGGGGTCATGAGCATGTATTATTTGTGTAATTAAAATGTTTTAAGGGCCCTAAATTTTTAAGAGGATCCCCAAATGTTCCATTTAGCTTCCCCTGCAGGTTGTTTAAAAGGAAGAAAACCAAAAGTACCCTCACTACTTTCAATTTCCTCCTTTTTCGGGGGTGGGGGCCAGTTCCCCCTTTGGACATGGATAAGATGCTCTTGGGGATTGAGGCCGAACCATACAATTCTTCATAACCCTGGAGTCAGGCGGACAGGAGTTTGAATTCTAACTTTACCACCTGCTGGCTGTGTGACGGAGAAAAGTTACTAAATCTGTTTTGTCCTTTGTAAAAAGGAGGTTAACACCCACTGGGTAGGATTGCTGTGAGGACTGAGAAAGACAAGGCCCAAACAATCATTCCTTGCCTGGCACGTGGAGAATGCCCAACTAGGGTAGCTGTTTCTACAAGAGGGAAGAAGTAATAACTTTATTTTGGTCAGAATAAAGTGCATGACCTCATCACTACATGACTGACCAAAGACAACAGCTGGGAACGGAAAAAAGTCTTGGGGGAATGTTCTTCGCACAGTCTCCCTCTCACATTCCTGAACATGGCAGCTATCTGCTGGAGCAGCTACTGAGCCAATTTCTTAAGAAGGGATTAGGACCACCAGTGGCCTGCCCCATTGAGAAATTGTGTATCTTTGTTTCTAGCAAGAATCAAAAAAGAATCTGTGACATAGAGTAATAAAAACGAACGACAGCTGCCACTTATAAGCTCCACTGCTACATCCCACTTCTTCCCAAGCCTCACACCCACTCTGCGATATCTGACCCCCTCAGGCAGCATGGGCTGCAGGACTTGAGCGTCTCTCTTCCCTGATATACCTCTGTAACTTCACCTCTTGTGCACCTGCAACCCCTCCCCGCACCCAGGGGAAGCCATTTCTGTCTGAGCTGCCACAGCCCCAGACCTATGACCACCCCTTCTGTGAGTGTGTGCCACAATCCCTGATCGAGAATCCCTCTTACACAAAAACGCTGTGATCTGTTCTGGGTTGAAATAATCGAAAGAATTGGTTTAAGAGAGAAATCATAAAAATGACACCTACCTTAAATGGTTTATGTCCACTTAAAATACATTCACCAATCTTTTGACCCTGAAGCACAGCTTTTTCATTGAGAAACTGCTGAGTTCTTCATTTTCCTTGCATGAACTGTGTACTCACATAAACCAACCCAAGAGTTCCAGTTTTGGGTTACTTTAACGCGGGGAACTTATTAGACCATTTCCACGTGATATAGAATCCTCAAGGACATCCCCCTGCACCCCCGCCCCAAGTCTTTTCGGTAAGGAGTCTTGCTCACTCTAATTCAGGAGCATTTTGAGGAAGGGGTGGCGGCTCACCTTTATCAGGTCTCTGCAAGTAGACAACTTAGTTGTATTAGATTCTTCCATTTTTCAATCTATTCTCACATCATTACAGCACACAGCACAGCTGGCATAGGCAGGTTTGGGAAACACACACTTACTACCAGTAGGCATATTACTATTGACCTCGAGCTTTGAGGGTCACAGTGACTCTAGTATCAGGAGTTAAAGAGAGAATGGAGGGAATCAGGGAAGAGTTTCTTGCAGGGTGGTTCACGCCCACATTTCATCCATCCGTGGTGAATGATCCATGTTTGTGCTGTTCTAGGTGAAAGCCCTGAAGGACTGGATGGTAAACAGCCATGTAAATCTCAGCTGATGATGGTGCCCCCCTTTCCTGAGCTGAAGGTTGAACAAGGAATGCCAGATCCTTGGAAGTCAAGAAGAGTTTATGAAACTTTTCATTTATGCAGCCCTTGGTTCAAAGCTGTGGGAAAATATGTTAGCCTGTTCTCAAAGAGATTATATTCTATTTTGGAATACCTATATGGAACAACTCCTATCTTTGAAATTTTACCATGTACCCCTTTTCTGCATACATGAACTCGCTCTGATCCAGGATGACTGACTTGCACATTTTATAGATTTAATTTTGATGACAGTTCCATGAGACTGTTTTATTTTACTCTCCTCATTTTCACCTGAGGAAAAAAGAGGCACAGAGTGGTAAGGACCTGGCCTGAGGCTACACAGCTTGAAACTGGCAGATCCAGGCATATTCTGTAGGGATTCAACAAAGGAAGCGCTGGCTTCATGGGGTCCGGATTTTCTGATCATCCTGATGGATCCTCTCCCCATTTCTCAATTTTTCTCCTCTAGAATTGAATTCCATTCTGACTGTGATCCCAGCCCCCAGGCTAGCCAGCCACAGTCAAGTAGAAAGAAATACACAGCAATACTTCTGAAAATCAGCCTTTTAATCTACTTGAGCCCAATGAGTGGGGAAAGAATTAAACCATTTTTCCCCCTTGAGATTTTAAGAGTAATGGGTCAGAGGTGTCTCTTCCATAGGAAACCGACAGCTCTCATGTCCTCAAGAGTTTGTTTGTTTTTTAAAAAGCATAAAAGTGGAATTTCAACTCATGTGCATGCCACACATTTCCCCGCCCCACCCTGCCCACCCTCTCCAGGTGCAGGTATTCACATACCAAAGAGACTCCTTTAAGTAACTGTGGAACAGAAAATGAAAAAAAAAAAAAATCCATCCAAGTGGCCACAGATAGCAGAGATAACCAAATGCAGTTTACACTCACAACATCAGTCAACTCATATGCAGAAGGGGACACTTTTCTAATTGGAATCCAAAGCCAAAAATTACAAATGGCAAAGACTTGAGCTATCCATATAGATCATTTAAAAACTTCCACTGGACACACTCCTTAATTACAAAAGTATTCAAACAATCTTGATATAAATGGAAAACAGGCAGGCAGCTCTCTCCCTGGGACACAAGGGCGTACCTAAAATTCCCTGGGTGGAATTCATGCCTGAACCATTGCCGCTCCCTTTCAGGACTAAAGGGAAAGGATGAGCATGAGTAGCAGGGTAGGGATCTACCTCTGGAGAAGTGGGAAGACAGTGGAGCTGCCCTAGGGACCAGAAACACATGTGTGGCCCGTGATGGGGGAACTCAGTGGCAAGTGGGCCACAACTGGGCTGCAGAGAAGTCCGAGTGCTGTGCACCCCTCGGGAGCCTGGAAGATAGATGTTCAAAGACAGGAGAAGGACTGGTCTGCTTCGCTTCCCCCACCTAAGGCCTTGGCCTGACAGCAACTCTCTGGAAGATGGTGAGACATGATTATTTTAGGGCTGCAGAGAAGGATGCTTTCTGTCTGGGACAGAAGGATGCAAACCATGTCTGGTGTTCAAAGGATGTCTCCCAGGTTAAAACCAGCCCTTCCACCAAGAGATGCTGTTGCCACACAGCACAGGGGCTGAGGCACATTGGTGGGGGGGGGGGGTCCAGAGAAAAACAAGGTGAAGAGAGGAAGGGGAACTCGCCATCCACCATTTCCAATGGGCAGACCCAAGTCACCACCACTGCTACCCAAACACTGGGCATCTGCCTCACAGGAGAAAAAGAAATGGGTGGGGGTGAGGGACTCAGGGCCAGATTCCAGGATGGGCAAGAAGGGACACAGCAAAAGAGAGGGTTCCATCTACGGCGCCACATCTCAGGGGCTCGCCTGGGAAGTTCCATTCTTTGTTGAAGGCGCCGAGCGGAGGCACCTTTGGGCAGAGTGGTCCAGAGCCAAGAGCCTGGTCTGCAGGCTGGTTGCCCAGGAAAGAAACCCAGTGATTGGTGCATCCAAATGGTGGGAGCTTCAAGATTGTCAAAGCCTGGCTGAGACCTGGTCGACGTGGATTCTGGGCTGTTCCCCTAAGAAGGAAGGAACTGTAGCCCTCCAGGGAATGGTCCCTGATGTCCTCGAACCCACTATGCCTGACTCTGGTCTTGGAGCTCCCCAGGAAAAGGGGCACCACAACCACAGGCAGTGGAATTCATCTAAAATTAAAGATGGGGAAAAGAGGTAGCTGCAAAACCGTGAGCCACCCCCGACCTTCCCCAACCAGATCCTGGGCCAGATAAGAGGGCAGGAGGAGACAGGGCACTGGAAGCAGGGCTGGCGGTCTCCCTGGGTCCTTGGCCATTGGGCCCAGTGGGTCATCAATGCATCTTGCCCAGCTGGATCTTCTTCCAAGCCTCCGAGGCTGTGAAGATACAGGAGTCCAGGATGCCAGCGACAGTGAAGGTCCCACCGATGATGGCACAGATCTGAGAGGAGGGGCAGGTCAGAGGTCAGTGCTGGATGGAGCGCCAGGCCAGACCCCTCCCAAATCATGAGACCATGGAGCTATGCAAGTACAGATACTCTGCCCCATAGTCAGCAGGGTCTGGAACATCGCCAGGGCTCAACAACTGCCCCCTCCATACTGGATGACAAATTTAATAATAATAAAAGCAGTCATTATCAGCTCCTTTAAATCCCTTATTAACTTTCTGAATGCAGAAGGGGATTATTAGACCCATTTCACAGGTGAGGAAACTGAGGTTTAGTTAGGTAAGTTCACACAGTAAGTAGCAGAGCTGTGACTTGATCCCAGGTATGTCTTCACCCTGGAGCCTGTCGTCTTAACTTCCACTCTAAATTTATCAGATTTTTATTTATTTATTTTTATTATTTTATTTTTTTTAATTTATCAGATTTTTATGATCCCATTTACAGGTGGAGGAGTGGAGGTTCAGAAAGGCAGTGCCATTGGCCCAATGTCACACAGCCAGGAAGTGGCAATCCAAAGTGAACTCGGATCTGACAGGTCCAGGCCTAGTGCTGCCTGTTACTGTGATCTGGGAGGGGCTACACAGGCAGCAGTGGATGGACTGGAGCGAGAAATCAATCTCTCACTCTCAGAACCTTGCACTGTATTAGGGGGATGACTAGCAATCAAATAATCACACCAACAATGCAAAATCATAACCAAGCCAAGTGCTACAGAGGACGGGGGCCCCGTAGTGCTACCAGAAGGCTTACATTAGTGCAGAGCTTCTTATGGCACTATATACTTTGGGGACCAGAAAGTTCTTTGTTCTGGGAGGGCTGTCCTGTGCACTGCAGCATGTTGATTAGCAGCCTCTCGGGCCTCCACCCAGGAGATGCCCATAGTACGCTTTCCCTCCTGTTGTGGCAACCAGAATGTTTACAAACATTGTCAAATGTCCCCTGGAGGTGAAACTGCCCCCATTCAGGAACTGCAGTAGTTGGGTGGATGACGATGATGAATGTCACCTGTATGTCTGTACTTCCTACCTTCCTGCCACATAATTAAATAGAAGTATGACAAAACAGAGCTTACACAGCACTTTCTCTGCACCAGGCAGGGCTTGAGTGCTTTGTGCCTCCCTCCTTCCTGAATCCTCAGGCCAACCCTAGGGAGTCCTACTCTTCTACCTATATTCCAGCCAAGGAAACTGAGGCACAGAGACATTGAATCACTTGTCCAATGCCACTGTGTAATTAGTGGTTGAACTAAGGTTCAAAGCTTTGGAGTCTGCACTCTTGACATGACACTCTGTTGCTTCTCAGGCATGAGACTTCTCTGCCTAAGTGAATTACTAACTTTGCTTTGAATTTGTCAGGATTCTACTTGTGACGATATCAAAACAATGCTACGTTTTACTCAAAATTTTCTGGCTTATCGGTTGCTTTCAGGTTCCATAAAAGAATCAAAGTATAGATGACAGGAGAGAAAGGAAGTTCACAGAGGGCTTGTGAGGCAACTTTAAATGTATTTTTCCTCTTGAGCACATACTTCATGCCATTCATAAGAACCAATACCACCCATGACCAGTATGCCACTCCTCAGTCATGCACCCATGGGGCCCACACAAGGAAATCACTTTTCTGAGGTCACACAGCAGGCGTGTGGCAGAGTGAAGTCTGTCTGTCTGCCTCCAGAGTTCTCACTTTTTTGCCTCTGCCACATTTAAGGAGCACTTAGACGACCACAGGACTCAGAAGAAGCCCAGTTGAGCAGTCCTCAAGGGCTCCTGAGACCACCCTGGACGTACCACTGGGTGGCTGGCCAGCTGCTGACACTCAACCAAGGGAAGGCTCTGAGAGATAGTGGAGCCTTCCTTAATGGACCCTCTGGTGCCAAGCAGAGGAGGCCAGGAGACACAGTGGAGGTGAGAGGGAAGTGAGAATCGAACCAGTGTTTATTTTTAAGATGTTATTTCCATGAGATGAGCTAAGCAGAGGCCTGTGAGGCCCAAGACAGAACAGGTCTGTACAGATGGGCTGTAAGTGGAGCAGCTGGCATTCCAGTAATAACAGCCCAAGAAACCGGAGCAGCCCCCCAGGGAGTGAAGAGGGCGGGGGGCGCTGGGGGGATTATTGTGAAGTGTTTTCAGCAGGCAAGGCCTCTCCCTGCCAGCCTCAGAGCATGACGCAGGGGCACTTTTCAAGGAACATGACGGCAGGGGAGCTGGTTTATTTTGGTAGAATGGATCAGATGATAGGAGATTTTACACCGCAAAATGCTTTTAGAGCTTGGATCAGAGAAGAGGAAATTGTGACTTAAGTGCAATGGAGCAAAAAAAAAAAAAAAAAAAAGCACCACACACACACACACACACGCTCTCTGGAACCGGAGCCAGCCTGTGATTCATAAACACCTGAAACCCAGCCTGAAGCCTCCTTTTCCTGGGCCAGCCAGGAGCAGGAGAAGACAACACAAGCATGAGAAAATACACAACTGCAGGGGAGCCGAGGCCCTGGGGCACGCAAGCCACTAAGCACCATCAGAGTGAGCGGCTGTCAGCCTAAGGTGAAGGAGGCCCTGCAGTGAGCCCCATGTACATCTTCTGATACCACCCAACTCTGCAGTACATCTCCCATAATCCTCCGTCTGTGGAAGGTGCTGGTCACTGGTCAAATGAGGAGGGGGGATTTCTGGCACATTTCAGGGTGGGATAAGGCACCTCAAAAGCTGGGAGAAATCTAGCAGCCTCTCTAAGGAGGTGGCTGGTCATGGCCACCCTGTGTCCTGAGAAGGCCACAGCTCCTACGTCTCAAACACAGGGAAATCAATGAAGCCACGAGGCTGGACCCAATGGTGTATCTGTCTTTGGATGTAGGCCGTACATTGGTGGTGACAAGATCACAGGCTTCACCACATTTGTAGAGCACATCTCAAAAACAGACTAAGGAAAGAGCTGCTGAGAGGGATGGTGGCCCGGCATCTCTCTCATCCACGGGGATGCGCCAAGGTGAATGAATACAAGTGAATACAAATGAAGATAAAACCAATCAGACACCACCTTATTGGATGTGGTACAGGGGGTTCCTGAGCAAAGTGGGGATGAGGTGAGTGCCAGGGGGCCTGCTAGGACACCCCCCTGCCACAGCAGCAGTAAGGGCTCAGCCTTGGAAAGCTGATTTGTGGTTGTCACTCACTCACTCTAGCCATGGACAGCCTTTCTGGGCCTCAGCTTTTTTTTCATCCACGGCTTGGGGAAACCACCCCAAACCCTGCCAACTGTCATACTTCAGGAAGTTCCTCTGGAGCTCCCAGCACTTAGTAAGTGCTCAGTAAATGATACCTCCTTTAAGCTTGTGGTTGACCGGAGGGCTCCAACCTTGTTGCTAAAATCTGAGATTTTCTAAACCTTTCTGAGACCCACTCTAAGAAGAACAATGGGTAAAATACCACTTATTTCCCAGAGTAAGCCTCTGGGTCTCAATTTTTCTTTTTTCTACCTGGCTCTTTTAGCTGAGAACAAGCCAATTAATAGAAAAACAGGACAGCAAAGGTGTCCCAGTCACCACATGCAGATTCTTTGCAGCTGCCCAGTCCCAAGCACTCCAAGAGCCCATTGGACAGATGGGGTAGGTGAGACCTCAACAGGATATTTCCTCAGGTAAGTGCCAAGAAGTGTTTGTGATGAAGCATATCCCTCTGGGGAAGAGTGCCTAGGCCAGAGGTGGTTTCCACTCTTTGACCAGTCAGGGAGCTCTTCAATCTCCGCAAGACTCTACCTCAACCCCGAACACTGAGAAGTTATGAGAAATATCTGATACAAAGAGGCTTCTGGTTGGGACCCCTCTTGTCATGTGCCCTTGTGTCATCCTTACTTCTCATACCTCTGTTTCCTTACTTTACAAACTGGGAAGGCTAGGGGCTCAGTGGTTGAGCATCTGTCTTTGGCTCGGATCGTGATTCCAGGTCCTGGGATCAAGTCCTGCAGAGGTTCCTCACAGGGAGCCTGCTTCTCACTCTGCCTATGTCTCTGTCTCTCTCTGTGTCTCTCACAGATAAATAAAATCTTAAAAAAAAAAAAACTGGGAAGGCTAATCCTCAACCCTCAGGACTGTGTCAGACTGAACAAGTGTTCGTGTCTCACGCACACACACACACACACACACGTTGCCATGAATGCCTGTCCCTTGCCCCCTCACCGCTGCCATGTTCTTGTGCCTCCTGACCAGGCCCTAAAGCAGGAGGATAACCTCAGGAGAGGGTGGTGAAGCAGGGCCACTGATCAGAAGGGGCCACCACAGCCAGCACATGCAACCCTACTCTGGTCCACAGCCCTGGCTCCAGAAATGGAAACAAGGACAATTCGATATCCAGGCCCCAGTGAGTCTGAGAGGAATGCATTTTTTTGCTTTCATCAGAAGTCATCAATAATGCCCCTTTGTTCTTTAGCAGAGACTTCCTGCGGTTCTACCAGCTTCCCAACCTCCTACTAGGCTAGAATGAAGTCAGCTTGTCTACCGTGAAAAGAAGGGGTGTGTGTGTGTTTCCCTTACATTTTAATTATGGCTCTTAATTCCTTATAATATGGAAAAGACGCGTTCAGTCGCACTGGCGGGAGAGCTGAATCCCTCTGTTGTTCCACCAACACTAATGTTTTCCCAATCCATAGCCCCTCCCCCACCATTTACTTTTCCACAGTGGGCAGTGGAGAAGCAACACACACACACACACACACACACACACACACACACACCAACATGGGGGCGGGGGTGGAGACTGTGGGCTCTGGAGTAAACTTTCCTGTGGTCAGATCTCAGCTCTGTCACTCTGGTCAGGAAAGCCAGGTCACCCCTCTGGGCCTCAGTTTCTCCTGTCTGTAAAATGGAGCTCCCCCCTCCCCATGAGGACCCAGATGACCTCTGTCTGGCTGGCTGCTGTACCACAAGTGCCCGGGGAACTGTTCATTCACTGTCCCCATTCAGGCAGCATTGCTTGAAAAGCTTATGGAAAAGGCAC